TTTTTCCTTAGGGGGAAGTCTACTGATAATGGAGAAAGAAGATACCCCACTTCTGGCCGAGCACGGTGGCTCATGCCTGTAATCCCAGCACTTTTGGGAGGCCGAGGCGGGCAGATCACGAAATCAGGAGATTGAGACCATCCTGGCTAACATGGTGAAACCCCATCTCTACTAAAAATACAAAAAATTAGCCTGGCATGGTGGCAGGTGCCTGCAGTCCCAGCTACTCCGGAGGCTGAGGCAGGGGAATCGCGTGAACCTGGGAGGCAGAGCTTGCAGTGAGCCGAGATCAGGCCACTGCACTCCAGCCTGGGTGACAGAGCAAGACTCCGTCTCAAAAAAAAAAAAAGATAATCCCTCTTCCATATTGTTGCATGTACAATATTCAAAATGCACATTTAATGAATGAACTGGTAAATGTGACTGTGTGAGAGAGTATGCATAAGACACAACTATATGACCCTGTTGGTGGTGCTTTTTACTTGTATGTTGGTTGGCTCATTGCATTCACAAGAATGTATTTTACAGCTGTATTCAGACTGCCAACCAGAAAAATGCAAAACAGTGTTACATTTACATAAGAATGGGTGAGTCTGAGAGTAATTAAAATATTTTCTTCTTTTATTTTTCCACGTATTTATGAATAAGATATTATTCCTTACATTTAAAAAATGTAAAGAAAGTTCCATGTGATCAAATATCTGAGTGATAAATGAAAACTATGATTTTAAAAAATATTTCTCAAATACTTGCATAGTTTGAAATGTGAAAGTGAAAAACAAAAAACAAAACAAAAACTCACCAGTCTGACTAGAAGGAAATATCCTGCTGCCTGTGTTGGCTGGATGGTGGGCAGCACAGATGCTTGTGTGTCCGTCCAGGGCTGGGCCTGCAGGGAACAAGCCAGAGACAAAAAACAGTTTTGCTTTCCTCTTTCTTTTTTTTTTTTTTTTTTTTTTTTGAGACAGGGGTCTCACTGTGTTACCTAGGCTGGTCTCGAACTCCTGGACTCAAGTGATCTTCCCACCTTTACCTCTCAAAGTGCCTGGATTACAGGCCTGAGTCACTGCTCTTGGCCACACTTTCCTCTTTACTGTAGGAAAAAAACGTAAAAGGATAAGATTGATGATAAATGGACTTGGTGATATTGACGAAAAGGAGAAGAGGGCCTACATTTGCCTGGACCCCAGTCCTGTGTACACTGATCAGGGCTTCTCCCTACATGCAGAATGCCAGCCCCTATTCAAGAGACATGGAAAGGCCATGACAAGGCTATCGTTTTAGAGAGAGGGAGAGAGGGAAAACCCAGATTTCTCTGCGAACTCTTCCAATCTTTTTGACAAGTACTTCAAATTTTTAAAATACTGTGGGAACCTCACAAACATTTTTGTGTCCCGTCTGGTTCGCTGGTCACCAGTTTGCGCCCTCTAGATGCGCACTGGATCCGTGGTGGGTTTGTCATTTTCTGAAGCTCTCACGGCTGCTTTGAAGCCTCAGTTTGTCGTGTATGCGGGCGAGGAACCGGGCAGGTGGGTGGGTCCTGCGTGGGTGCTGCCTGGGTGTGCTCTGCTCCAGCATGCGTCGGTCGAGTGTGAGTGAGAACACGTCTGTGAGCGGTCAGGTGAACCGGGTCTAACCTGCCCGGGTGGGGTGGTAGAAGAATAGAAAATGGCCTGTGAAAATGAAGGTTTCTCTTAATTGCCTCCGGACGCCTGCAGTCCCCCCAGCCTCTTCTCTGGGACTAGGCAGCCACCCACCCGCTATGACCAGCCCGAGCACGGGACGGGACTGGCTTTGGTACCTCTTCTGGTCCGGGCGCAACTGGATTCAGCACTAATGCCGGACCTTACCCCAGAGGAGCGCTGGACCCCCGCAGGAGTGGCAGGCTGCCCGCTGCTGGCCTAAGGACTGGCACCCCCTCTCCCAAAGCTGTTGCCATGGCCACAGGGGACGTTTGATGTGAAGCGCGACTCCCCCCTCCCTCCACACACACACACACACACACACACACACACACTCGCTTTCTCCGCTTGCCTTCAGGATGACGTCATGAACATCCTTGGCCCTGACAGGCCACCCGTGGGTTGGTCTCGGCTTTAAAACAGCTGTTCTCCCCTGGCCCGGCAGCCGCGGCGACTGTGTTTGCACCCGGAGGACCATGCCAGGACTACAGACCCGGCCAGGACTGACGGCCTCAGAGAGGCAAGTATTCAAGGGGCACTTCACAAACAGCTTCCTCAAACCCCATCACTTCCTCCGCACTGCGCTGCTGCTTGCACTGCGGCTCTTGCGGGGAAGCAAAGTGCCGGCAGCTGGGTTGTGAGGGGCTTTCTTCCAGAAAGAAGCGGAGAGCAAGTGGTCTTCCTCCCTAGCCGTGGCGACCCATGCCAGGTAAAATCCCAGCCGAGGTCACCCGTCCAGTTCTCTCCTCCAGGTCAAGGGCTTGGGACTGGAGGAGCAGCCGACTGGAGCTGATATTCGGGAAGCTAAGCCTGAGGCTGCTCTGGAGGGCCGGGGAAGCGAGCGGCCAGGCTTGGCACCTGCCAAATGTGCCATGCCAAAATGAAGAGGACGGCAAGCGACTCTGGAGCCCAGCAGGTCAGCGCTCCTAGGGGATGCTGGGCGGGCTAGAGGTGTGGGGGCGTCTCGTTCCAGTACCCGCCCGGGGCGACGCGGAAACCCGGCTTGCAGTTTGTTTCGCTCGGTCCGGCGCCCAGTAGGAGAAAGACTGTCCCACAGCCTCGCGGTAGCAGGCTCTCGCAACCCAGCCGCCCCAAGCCCGCCGCCGCCGCTCCTCCCGCGCTTCTCGCCCCTGATTCTAGATGCAGCTGACTTGTTGCATGCAGAAGAGCAGCTGGGTTCCGCGTTCCAAGCCTCTCCTCTTTGCTTTGCCTGCCACCAAATCTGAGCGCCAGGAGTCCGGGGACTCTGCCAGACAGCACCCAGAGAGCCCAGAACAGCAGGAAAAAATGTGAAAAGTACCAGAAGACCACTGGGTAATCGCCCCAGTGCAAAGGGCCCTTCTTCCTACCCACCGCAATTGCGGCAAATAATTCCAGCAAGGGGAATGAGAGGCGCCGGGGATTGCGCCCTGGGGGAGCCCTATCTGCTGAAAGAGAGCGTCTAATGCGGTTGCTTCCTAGTGTATAGCCTTTCCACTCCGCGGACCAAGCGCTCTCCTTCGAGTTGCTACCCGCTTGGAGTTGGCTCAGAATCAGGCTGCTAAATGTCCCTGGAGCCCCTCCCCCAGCAAATCCGAGCCTCCAGCTTCAGCACCAGAGGCTGGACAGCGCCCCGACCCTAGGGTGCCGATGGTCTGTGCCTGCGCGCGGCTCGGCCTCCCAGCCCCACGCCACTTGCGCTCGCGGCCCCTCAGATCCCACGCGGAGGAGGTCGGGAGGTGACACAGGTTCGTGGAAGAAGGCGGGATTCATCTTCCTCATTTCTCCAGGGATTTAGGTATGGGAATCTAGGAGAGCATTCTCTCTCGCCCTGGCTACGACCAGTGGAAAAACTTGGCGCCAAACGCAGGCAATGGTGCTGGGAGCAGAGGAACGATTGCAGGCGGTGAGCAAAGGGGCAAGCGGGACAGAGGATCTACTGCGAGCCCCAGGCTCTGGTGTTCCGTGAAAAATCGCCACATTTAAATCCTGCGCTCCCCCGCGCTCCCTCTCGCTCTCTCCCCTTTCTTTTTTCCCTTCCTTCCTTCCTCCCCGCGGTCTCTGTACGCCTTAATGAGAATGAGTGAAAGGGAAAGAGTGGGGTGGAGGGAGAAGATATTGAAGCCGAGGTAAGAAGCACATTTTATCTAGGTCTCAACACTCAAGCGTGGATGAAATCTGTCCAAAAAGAACATCAAGGTACCCGTTTTTTACCCAAAGGAGCCCAAAGTGACCTTTGTATGAGGAGCAAAGATGATTGTTTGACCAACAAGGGGAACCGCGGAGGGAGAGACGCTATCACAAAAGGGCAAACGGAGGCGGAGGAGGAAGAGAACGGACAGGGCTTCAGGCACTAGCATGGTTACCAGGCAACCAATCGCAGCCCCTGCCTCCTGTTGCCTTGGTTACGGTGGGTGGAGGGGCTTTGGCCACTGATTATCCATGAAGACCTAGATTATTTAAAATATCTCCTGGGAAGCCCCTGCCTTCTCCGGGCCAGGTGAGAGGCGCACTGATCCCGCATAAGGCCCCGTCTGGGGAAATCCTGGAAGATGTTTGTTGTTTGTTTGTTTGTTTGTTTTTCTTTTAAGTCAAGGCGCATAGCAAAGCAACTTACCTTGCCACGACTACAGTCCTCCCCTCCCCCGCTCCACCCCACTGGCTTCATTTCTCCAGGATTTACAATTTGGGCTTTTATATTTTTCATTTAGTCCTTTATACTGGAGGAGCTGAGTTCCTGTCCCCATCCTCTCTTTTTCCCCCTTAAAATGAGAAAAAAAATTTGCTTTTTATGAATGAACAGGAGGGAAACAAGGAAATTGTCCAAGGGTGTCTACTATAGAGAGAAGCTTTCTCCCTGGTTTAAGAGTCATCCCTCCCCCCACTAAACCACTTCCCTCAGGGGAGAGGGGGCTGAATTCTGGATTACCCTCACTTCTCACCTTGCCCCATAGACCACATAGAAAGCACAGGCAGAGGGAAATGTGTCTCCCTTAGCAAATGGACACTAGCATCACTCTCATTTGATTCCTCAAGATTCTCTCCTCTTTTCTTCCTCCCCAGCATTGCCTTCATAATTAGCAAATACAGCACCTGAAGCTTCTAACCCTCTGAGTTTTTCTGTTTCCCTTGATTGACAAACACTGTCAATCAATGTTTCACCTGTCAGCCTTGCCCTGCCTGTGTTCATTTGAAACATCTGGGTAGGAAATTATTTCACTCATAATTTTCGAAAGGCAGCTGTAGCATTCTCAGAATGATTTCAGAGGAAATTGCTAGCAAGTTACCAGAACAGCCTGTGCTCTGTGCACTATTTCACCTCAAATATGTCTGTTTAAGAGCCATGAACTTTCTCTTTTCCAAAAAACAACAACAACAACAAAAAGAACTTTGTTTTAAACTGAGGTATTACTTGACAACACAGGAATGGAGAATATTTCCGTTTCAGGCAGTAACTATAATATGGTTATCTGTGATGCCCTGCACCAGTAAACACACATGTCTTTTCTTTTTTCATCTTGTTCTCTTCTTTTCTCTCCATTTCCTTCATTTATTATTAATGTAAAAATTTTTGATCATTGTAATTTCAGCATAAGTTTAAAAGGTCAAAAATTCCCTCAGTGAACTGACTTGATAGTTTTGGGGGTATTTACATTAAAATGCTTTTCTCTCACATGTTACTATAGAAACTTCCCTTTAGATCAGACCAGACAGCTGGTCTGCTTTTTGTACTTTTCTTCCCAAAGAAGTGCTTTCCTTTATGAATTCTCTGTGGCAGCTATCATTGATTACATCAGTAATGTCCCATAGCAACAGTTGGCTTTTTTTTTTTAAATTATTATTCACTTTCTGCTTATTTTCTTTATGGACAAAGAGTCTACTTTCCTTTCAAGAAGATAACTGAGCTCTTATTGGCTGGAAAGGAAGAAGCATTCTTTCATTGGTTGGTGTGTATTGCCTTGTCAACCAATAAGAGGATGCCATTTATCCTTTTCTGACTAGCTGAGTGAGCAGGGTGCACAGAAGGATTGAATCTGCCTTAGTTCCATCCAGTAGCAAAGGATAGAACTCAGAGTACTGGACTCAGGATCTGCAATTGACTTTGGCTAATCCAGATTGCACTGACTTGCAAGGATCACGTTTTTTACCTACCTATTCATAGCTTACTTCAACGTACCTGCCTTATACATTGTCCTATGGCTTTTTTCCCCTTCATTTTAGGAGATACTATGATCATCTTTCCAAGTCAGTGCAGGTTATTGTTACCAGCACACTGAGGGTCCAGAGAATTTTGTGATTTCCCCTAAAAGTAGATAATTGGCCCTCATTATTAGAGATGTGGTGAAAACTTTTGGAGATGAAGATGGAAAGCTAGAAGTTGAAAGAGCTGCATTGCGTGTGACGCAGAATGGATATCTCAGCTTTTGGATTCACGCTGCTCAGCTCTCAGCTTTGGTGTTTTGTGTTTGGTATTTGGTGTCCTCTCCACTTTGATTTTTATTTGTTTGTTTTTCCACTTTCATTCTTCAGAGCTGCGCTTTCGGCCCGAATTTTCAGTGACAAATAGAAAAGCTGAATGGATGGAGACAATGACTCTCTAATTCAGTGTAAGAGCTGACTCATCGCTTCCCAGGAAGACTTGTTGCAGGTAGGTGATGGTGATCCTGGAACTGGAGATTATCCCAGTCCTTTGTCGCATTGGCAATGGGCAAGTCTGTTTATTTTTCTCTTTTTTCCTGCACCGAATAGTCTTACTCAGGGATGCTGGCATTGGTCCCCACTTCCCTAAAAATAGGGGAAGTCAAAGTTCTTTCCCTTTCAGAACAGAAACTCTCTGATAACAGCCTGGAAGAAGCCTTAACGTGAGTACAGACCACTTCAGTCAGTCTTTTTTTGGTTCTTGGCAGGAGGGGATACTGGGAGTGGATAGATGCCTGATCATCATGGTGCTGTCAAGAGCCATATTCTTTATTGGCCCCATCTGTGCCAGAGGTCAGCAGTACCATGAGCCCTAGTGCTAGACTATAAGCCCTTCAATATTAGGAGCTATGTCTTGTAGCCCTTTGATTCCCTCAAACTCAGTTGTGCTTAAAGTAGGGCTGAACAAATGTTTGAACTAAATCCTACTGGCTAGTATTCAGACAAATAGCTTAACTTCTTCTTTATGAGAATGGTAGCTCTAGACCTGGACCCTCCCCCTCCAAATCAAAAGCTTCATATTCCCTAGCCCTCTTCACAAAAGATAAATTAAGGCTCAGTTAATTGTTACCATGGTAACATGGAGTGGCCACATTGAGGATCCCCATCATCCATTACTGTCATGAGGTAAAAGAGAGGAGGGGTTTGGGATCATTGTAATGGAGGAAACCATGGAAACAAGTGTTG